CCTGTCTAAGACCTACTTTTACTGGGAAATAGTCTTCCTCTCTTCTACACACCCTAACCTGAGCCTCACTATCCTCATAAAAACTCTTTACAGCATTTAGTATCTTACCACCTATTCTATATACTTGCAACATCTGCCACATTGCTCTCCTATCCACTTATCATATTTTTTTTTTCTCAACAACTCGGCCGTCTCCCACCGAGGCAGGGTGACCCAAAAAAAAGAAAGAAAATCCCCAAAAAGAAAATACTTTCATCATCATTCAGCACTTTCACCACACTCGCACATTATCACTGTTTTTGCAGAGGTGCTCAGAATACAACAGTTTAGAAGCATACACATATAAAGATACACAACATATCCCTCCAAACTGCCAATATCCCAAACCCCTCCTTTAAAGTGCAGGCATTGTACTTCCCATTTCCAGGACTCAAGTCCGACTATATGAAAATAACCGGTTTTCCTGAATCCCTTCACTAAATATTACCCTGCTCACACTCCAACAGATCGTCAGGTCCCAAGTACCATTCGTCTCCATTCACTCCTATCTAACACGCTCATGCACGCTTGCTGGAAGTCCAAGCCCCTTGCCCACAAAACCTCCTTTACCCCCTCTCTCCAACCCTTTCGAGGACGACCCCTACCCCGCCTTCCTTCCCCTATAGATTTATATGCTTTCCATGTCATTCTACTTTGATCCATTCTCTCTAAATGACCAAACCACCTCAACAACCCCTCTTCTGCCCTCTGACTAATACTTTTATTAACTCCACACCTTTTCCTAATTTCCACACTCTGAATTTTCTGCATAATATTTACATCACACATTGCTAAATCCATAAATGCAATAAAAACTTCCCTATCTTTATATAAATACTGTTCACGTATATGCTTCAATGTAAACACTTGATCTACACATCCCCTACCCACTCTAAAACCTCCTTGCTCATCCACAATTCTACATTCTGTCTTACCTCTAATTCTTTCAATAATAACCCTACCGTACACTTATCCTGGTATACTCAGTAAACTTATTCCTCTATAATTTTTACAATCTCTTTTGTCCCCCTTCCCTTTATATAAAGGGACTATACACGCTCTCCACCAATCCCTAGGTACCTTCCTCTCTTTCATACGTTTATTAAACAAAAATACCAACCACTCCAACACTATGTCCCCCCTATTTTTAACATTTCTGTCATGATCTCATCAGTTCTAGCTGCTTTACCCCCTTTCATTCTACGTAATGCCTCACGCACCTCCCCCACACTCACATCCTGCTCTTCTTCACTCCTAAAAGATAGTATACCTCCCTGGCCAGTGCATGAAATTACCGCCTCCCTTTCTTCGTCTATATTTAAAAGTTCGTCAAAATATTCTCGCCATCTACCCAATACCTCCATCTCCCCATCTACTAACTCCCCTACTCTATTTTTGACTGACAAATCCATTCGTTCCCTAGGCTTTCTTAACTTGTTTAACTCACTCCAAAAATTTTTCTTGTTTTCATTAAAATTTCTTGACAGTGCCTCTCCCATTCTATCATCCGCTCTCCTTTTGCACTCTCTCACCACTCTCTTCACCTTTCTTTTACTCTCCATATTCTCTGCTCTTCTTATAACATTTCTGCTTTGTAAATACCTCTCATAAGCTACCTTTTTCTCTTTTATCACACCCTTTACTTCATCATTCCACCAATCACTCCTCTTTCTTCCTGCACCCACCCTCCTATAACCACAAACTTCTGCCCCACATTCTAATACTGCATTTTTAAAACTATTCCAACCCTCTCCACCCCCCCCACTACTCACACTTGCACCAGCCCACCTTTCTGCCAATAGTTGCTTATATTTCACCTGAACTTCCTCCTCCCTTAGTTTATACACTTTCACCTCCCTCTTACTTGTTGCCATTTTCCTCTTATCCCATCTACCTCTTACTCTAACTGTAGCTACAACTAGATAATGATCTGATATATCAGTTGCCCCTCTATAAACGTGTAAATCCTGGAGCCTACCCATCAACCTTTTATCCACCAATACATAATCTAAGAAACTACTTTCATTATGTGCTATATCATACCTTGTATATTTATTTATCCTCTTTTTCATAAAATATGTATTACTTATTACCAAACCTTTCTATGCATAGCTCAATTAAAGGCTCCCCATTTTCATTTACCCCTGGCACCCCAAATTTACCTACTACTCCCTCCCCAATATTTTTACCCACTTTAGCATTAAAATCACCAACCACAAGTACTCTCACACTTGGTTCAAAACTCCCCACGCAGTCGCTCAACATTTCTCAAAATCTCTCTCTCTTCTCTATACTTCTCTCTTCCCCAGGTAAATATATGCTTACTATAACCCACTTCTCACATCCAACCTTTATTTTACTCCACATAATCCTTGAATTAATACATTTATAGTCCCTCTTTTCCTGCCATAGCTTATCCTTCAACATTATTGCTACTTCTTCTTTAGCTCTAGCTCTGCTTGAAACCCCTGACCTAATCCCATTTATTCCTCTCCACTGAAACTCGCCCACCCCCTTCAGCTTTGTTTCACTTAACCCGTAAACGGTCCAAACGTATATATACGTTTTTTCAACATTTGAAAGTATGTAAAAAAAGTAGATCTTCTTTTTGTTTTTTTACATTTGAAAATGTGTAAAAAAAATTTGAGCTACTTTTTTTTTTGTTATATTTGAAAATATGTAAAAAAAAACATAGATCTACTTTTGTAGCACTACACATGTGAATGTAGATTTGCTTGGATCATTTACGGGTTAAAGCCAGGACATCCAGCTTCTTCTCATTCATAACATCCACAATCATCTCTTCCTTATCATTCGCACAACATCCACGTACATTCGGACTTCCCACTTTGACAATTTTCTTCTTATTCTTTTTAGTAAATATTACAGGAAAAGGGTTACTAGCCCATTGTTCCCCAGATTTTAGTTGACTTTTACAACACGCATGGCTTACGGAGGAAAGATTCTTATTCCACTTTCCCATTGATATAAAAGGAAAAGTAATAAGAACAAGAACTAAGATAAAATCAAAGAAAACTCAGATGAGTGTGTGTATAAATAAACGTGTACTTGTATGTTTAGTGTGACCTAAGTGTAAGTAGAAGTAGCAAGACGTACCTGTAATCTTGCATATTTATTAGACAGACAAAAGACACCAGTAATCCTACCATCATGTAAAACAATTACAGGCTTTCGTTTTACACTCACTTGGCAGGACGGTAGTACGTACCTCCCTGGGTGGTTGCTGTCTACCAACCTACAACCATTTATCCACCAATATGTAATCTAACAAACTGCTTTCATTATATGATATATCATACCTTGTATACTTATTCTCTTTTTCATAAAATATGTATTATTTATTACCAAACCTCTTTCTACACATAGCTCGATTAACTCTTTGACTGTCGGAACCCCAGATCCTGAAGTGTCTCCTGGCGTCGCAAAATTTTTTGAAAAAAAAAAAAAAAAAAAAAAAATTAACTACGAAATGATACAGAATCCTTTCCTGATGGTAATGGCACTAAAAGTATGAAGTTTGATTGAAAACTTACGGAATTACGCTCCCGCGAAGTTAGTGATCTCGGAGATATATATGCATCGACGATTTCGCTGACTTTGAGCCCTATTTTCGGCCAAATCCATTGTTTCAGTCGACCAAACTCATAGCTGTTTCTTTAGAACTCCATTTTTTCTATCAGTTGAGCATAAGAAACTGTCCATTTACCAATTTCAACTACCCAGTAAAGTGGTCAGAAATTGGCAATTTGGCCAATTTCATGCAAATTAAAAAAGATGCCAATTTCAAAATAGGGTCCAGAATAAATAATGCAGACACTCTTGGCACTAAAATAACATATCCTCTGTTCATTAGTCATGTTTCCAAGCCCCTCTTATATTACTCTTGCTTTCTATTTTGATTTTTTTTCACACAAAAAATAGAAGATTTACTATTATGCAGACTACTGCATTATTGTAGAAATGGTATATATAATATCAGTGCAATAGTGAAAGAATATTAGACTCCCCAGTTGACGTGTAATGGATGTGTGGTGTGATTTGCTTACTCTTGAACATTGGTAAAAATCGAACATTTCCACTACTTTGAGCTCAATTTCAAGGTCGTTTTCATTGTTAAACTAATCAAAACCATCTCTATTTCTGTAATATGTTTTCCATTCTATCAAATGAGACCAAGAAAACGAGAATACACCTCAAAGTTCGGCATTTTAATCCAAAAACATGGAGTTTTTTTTTCTCATGCACTTCGTGCTGCAGGATTTTTTTGTACAGTGCACACTGACCACACAGACCCATTCTCTCACATGTGGGCCTACCAGCTTTCTCCTGCTTGATTTAAAGCTGCTAGAATTATTGAATGTATATACGTCCGAAACACTGGCTCGTTAGACGTATATATACTGCCAAAACAGTCAAAGGCTCCCCATTTTCTTTTACCCCTGGCACCCCAAATTTACCTACTACTCCCTCCACAACATTTTTACCCACTTTAGCATTAAGATCCCCAATCGCAAATACTCTCTCACTTCGTTCGAAACTCCCCACACACTCGCTCATTTCCCAAAATCTCTCTCTCTCTCCTCTATACTTCTTTCTTCTCCAGGTGCATAAATGGTTACTGTAACCCACTTTTTACATCCAACCCTTATTTTGCATCGCATAATCCTTGAATTTATACATTTATATTCCCTCTTTTCCTGCCATAACTGATCCTTCAGCATTATTGCTACTCCTCCTTTAGTTCTTAACTTTATTTGAAACCCCTGACCTAATCCCATTCATTTCCTCCACTGAAACTCTCCCACCACTTTCAGCTTTATTTCACTTAAAGCCAGGACATCCAGCTTCTTCTTATTCATAACATCCACAATCATCTCTTTATTATCATTTGCACAATGGCCAGTGTAATTATAATTATCACAATTTTATTATCTTTGCAGGGGGCGCAAACGCTTCGTGTCAGAGGGTGACGGTGGTCGCGTAAAAGACGATGCCTACTTCTAATCAGTCAGCTCACACTCGTGATGCCACTAAGGAATTTACATGGCAAGATTAAAACTTTGAAGTAATATATGAATTATGAAATGCAGATTTCCTGTTTTAAGGGGTGTTTTTTTAAATAAATTTGAATGATTAATTTCCAATATTCTGACTGGACCATACATTTACGTATTACACATTGCATAAAATATGTGATTTATTTACTGAAATATTTTTGGTTATTTGGAATTGAGAAGAAAATTTCTCTGTGGCATCCTAGCAAGATTTATCAGATGTATGGAGGAGACATAAATGCCACAGAAATATTATGAAGGCTTGTTTCCTCTTTGCATGTGATGAATGTTGCTGTGTGTACTGAGTTTCCATGATGTTTGCAAGTACAGCATTCTAATTACTGCAATGTGGATTTTTTTATAGTACAGTGCTGTGTGTTACACATGACTCAAGGTACAATTTTTTTTAATTTTGCATATTTGAGTTAGTTTATCTTCATTTTACAAAATTGCAAATATAATTATGTAAACAAGTGGAGACTCTATTTGTACTGTATTGTAGTCAGGTAGTGCATTGCTTAATGTCCCACACCTTACGCTTATACCACTTCCATAGACGAAGGCACAGTGGTAGACTACCTGTAGGTGGTTCCAGGGGTTGTCACATCCCATGGCCTGATCTTGGACACTTACAAATTATCTTGGTGGTGGAGACTGGAGTTCTTCTCAAAGTAGGGCATGAAGAATCCAGAAATTTACTGCAGAATGTAAAACGTTGCACAAGGGAGTAATCTACGTAATGTGCCTTCCTCTTAGGAGTGGGGAAAGTTAGCTTGCTCCTGACACACACTAGCCAACGTGGTAATGTATTGAAAATTTGCAATATATGACATACAAAGCATTGAATTGTGTGACTTGTTTTGGTGTGATTGAACCTAAACCAGTGGAGTTAATATTTGTCCAGCAGCACGTTGGTGCGTCTTAAGCTTTATTGTTCCCTACTGAGCCGTACCTGTGTATCATGCATATACTTGTTGCATATAGCAAAGAATTCGTTGCTCACTTGTGAATACTATTTTTTCTATTGTTAAGACTATGGGATAGGAAAACATATAAAGTTCTGTGGTTATAGAGCAAGTTTTCTTTACACTATGTGAAATTTATGCTCTTGCCAAGTTGAGCAAGAGTTGGAAGTACAAGACTAATTTTAGTTTTGAAAATGGACAAAAAAAATTAAAATCTCTCTGGCTATCCCTTAGAGAGGGGCCTGGGACCAGGGAAGAGGATTGGTATAATAACTTTGTCAGGATAGATGCATAGTTGGGACAGTTTGCATATTTTTTTTTAATTTTACATAATAATGAAGAATTGTTTGAGAAAATTATTTTTTTAAGTATTTACTAACAAAATAATTTCTGTTCATACAATGATTTCTTTTAAAAATATTGACCTCGCTCATTTTCCGCATGCATCTGTTTGTGACAAGGTATAATTATTACCTTGGGATTGTAATTGATTATCATTGCACAAGAAAATGTACAAAAAAATTGTAAAAATGTAAAAAATCACAATAAAAATTGCAAAATAGTTATTACAGTATTTTATTATATCTTCATAATGAAAGAGGTAATCTTGTGAATGTTTGCTGGAGGAATGTCTTGAGGAAAATGATTAGGAAGGAATTACGTGGGCATTAACCTGTTGCTTGTGAGGGTAAACATGCTACCCCAGCACCAGTGTACATGTTACCCCAGCACCAGTGTATATGTTACCCCAGCAACCAGTGTACATGTTACACGTCATGCAACCAGTGTACATGTTACCCCAGCACCAGTGTACATGTTACCCCAGCACCAGTGTATATGTTACCCCAGCACCAGTGTACATGTTACCCCAGCACCAGTGTACATGTTACCCCAGCACCAGTGTACATGCTACCCCAGCACCAGTGTACATGTTACCCCAGCACCAGTGTACATGTTACCCCAGCACCTGTGTACATGTTACCCCAGCACCAGCATACATGTTACCCCAGCACCTGTGTACATGCTACCCCAGCACCTGTGTACATGCTACCCCAGCACCAGTGTACATGTTACCCCAGCACCAGTGTACATGTTACCCCAGCACCTGTGTACATGTTTACCCCCAGCACCTGTGTACATGTTACCCCAGCACCTGTGTACATCTACCCCCAGCACCAGTGTACATGTTACCCCAGCACCAGTGTACATGTTACCCCAGCACCTGTGTACATGCTACCCCAGAGCCAGTGTATATATTACCCCAGCACCAGTGTACATGTTACCCCAGCACCAGTGTACATGTTACCCCAGCACCTGTGTACATGTTACCCCAGCACCAGTGTACATGTTACCCCAGCACCAGTGTACATGTTACCCCAGCACCTGTGTACATGTTACCCCAGCACCTGTGTACATGCTACCCCAGCACCAGTGTATATGTTACCCCAGCACCAGTGTACATGTTACCCCAGCATCAGTGTACATGTTACCCCAGCACCAGTGTATATGTTACCCCAGCATCAGTTTACACGTTACCCCAGCATCAGTGTACATGTTACGTCAACACTAGTGTACATGTTACCCCAGCATCAGTGTACATGTTACCCTAGCACCAGTGTATATATTACCCCAGCATCAGTGTACATGTTACCCCAGCACCAGTGTATATGTTACCCCAGCACCAGTGTACATGTTACCCAGCATTAGTGAAATAGTTACCCCAGCACCAGTGTACATGTTACCCCAGCATCAGTGTACATGTTACCCCAGCACCAGTGTATATGTTACCCCAGCATCAGTTTACATGTTACCCCAGCATCAGTGTACATGTTACGTCAACACCAGTGTACATGTTACCCCAGCATCAGTGTACATGTTACCCTAGCACCAGTGTATATATTACCCCAGCATCAGTGTATATGTTACCCCAGCACCAGTATACATGTTACCCCAGCACCAGTGTACATGTTACCCCAGCATCAGTGTATATGTTACCCCAGCACCAGTGTACATGTTACCCCAGCACCAGTGTACATGTTACCCCAGCACCAGTGTATATGTTACCCCAGCATCAGTTTACATGTTACCCCAGCATCAGTGTACATGTTACCCCAGCATCAGTGTACATGTTATCCCAACACCAGTGTACATGTTACCCCAGAACCAGTGTACATGTTACCCCAGCACCAGTGTATATGTTACCCCAGCACCATTGTATATGTTACCCGAGCACCAGTGTATATGTTACCCCAGCACCAGTATACATGTTACCCCAGCATCAGTGTACATGTTACCCCAGCATCAGTGTACATGTTACCCCAGCACCAGTGTATATGTTACCCCAGCACCAGTGTATATATTACCTGAGCACCAGTGTACGTGTTACCCCAGCACCAGTGTATATGTTACCCCAGCATCAGTGTACATGTTACCCCAGCACCAGTGTATTGCCCACATCAGTTACATGTTACCCCAGCACAGTGTGCATGTTACCCCAGCATCAGTGTACATGTTACCCCAGCACCAGTGTATATGTTACTGCAGCACCAGTGTATATGTTACCCCAGCACCAGTGTATATGTTACCCCAGCATCAGTGTACATGTTACCCCAGCATCAGTGTACATGCTACCCCAGCACCATATATTCCCTCAAAAGAGGTGGTGCTTTGATCCATGGTATTGGATTTATCCTTTCTTTAGATCAAACCTGAATTTCTTCCATTCCCCAGGTGCTAAATGATGACTGTGAATTTAGTGTCCTTCCTCGAATAAAGTGGAAATATATGCACCATTTTATGTGGAATGTGCATGGTGACCCCTGCACCATTGTATGAGGTGAGCATGCTGCTGCTGTACCACTATGAGGTGAATGCTGCTGCTGTACCACTATGAGGTGAATGCTGCTACTGTACCAGTATGAGGGAAACAAAATGACCACTTTGATATGCACACACACAAGAGTGATGGTATGTGACGAGATGTCAGAGTGGGCACCTGTGACAAGCAGGGTTCCACAAGGATCAGTTCTAGGTCCTGTATCATTTCTGGTATATGTGAATGACATGACAAAAGGGACAGGTTCAGGGGTATCCCTGTTTGTAGATGATGTAAAACTAATGCGGAGAACTCGAGTGGATGAGGGTCAGGTAGGACTACAAAGGAATCTGGACAGGATGCAAGCCTGGTCCAACAACTTGCTCCTGGAATTTAACCCCACAAAGTGCAAGCACAGTCATGAAGATTGGGGGAAGGTCAAAGAAGACTGCAGACAGTGTACAGGGGTCAAAGACTGCTAACTGACCATACCCCAGCCGGGATTGAACCTGCGGTTTGTTTGCAATCGTGTCATTACGATTTCGTGAGTCACTGCTAACTGCATTCAAGGAAAAGGATCAGTGAGTATAATACCGAGCACATCCGAGGCTCACTTCAGTCAAATAGCTCCTGCAGCATATGGGTGCCTGATAAACTGAAGAATAGTATTATGACATCTGAGTAAGGAATCGTTCTAGACTGTACACCATGTATGTCAGACCCATATCGAAGTATGCAACACCAGTGTGGAACCCACACCCTATCAAGCACATCAAGAAAAGAGAAAGTCCAAAAATTTGCAACAAAACTAGTGCCGGAGCTAAGGGGTATGTCCTATGAGGAGAGGTTAAGGGAAATATACCTGATGACACTGGAGGACAGGAGGGATGGAGGGGACATGATAATGAAATAAAATACTGAGAGGAATTCACAAGGTGAATAGGGACAGGATGTTTCACTGATGGGACACAGTAACAAGGGGTCACAACTGGAAGTTGAAAACTCAGATGAGTCACAGGGATGTTAGGAAGTATTTCTTCAGTCATAAAGTTGTCAGGCAATGGAACACTGGAGAATAACTTAGTGGAGGCAAGATCCTTACATTGCTTTAAGAAGAGATACGATACAGCTTATGGAGCAGGGAGAGAGTGGACCTAGTAGTGACCAGCGAAGAGGCAGGGCCAGGAGCTGTGCCTCGACCCCTACAACCATAAACAGTTGACTACACACACACATTCACATTTTATCACTGGCCATCTCCCACTGAGGAGTTTAGATACTACAACTAAGATGTTCAGTTCCAAAACTGTAAATATCTCCACTTCCTTTTTCAGAGTGCAGGCACTGTATTTTCCACTTCCAGGACTCAAGTCCGGGTAACTGGTTTCCCTGAATCCCTTCACAAAATGTAATCCAGCTTACACTCCAACAGCTCATCAAGTCCCAAAAACCACTTGCCTTCACTCCTATCTAACATGCTCACACATGCCTGCTGGTTGTCCAAGTCCCTTGCACACAAAACCTTTACCCCCTCCCTCCTTCCTTTCCTAGGGTGGCCTCTTGCCTACATTCCCTCCACTACAGATTTATACACCCTCCAAGTCACGCTATTTTGCTCCATCCTCTAAATGACCAAACCACCTCAACAACCCCTGCTCATCCTCTGGATAATAAATAGTTTTAGCAACTATGCATCTCCTCCTAATCTCCAGACTACGAATTCTCTTCTTAATATTTTCACCACACATTGACCTCAAACACCACATCTCCGCTGCCTCCATTGTGCTGTATAGCCCTTGTGGCTTAGTGCTTCTTTTTGATTATAATAATAATCCACTGCCTCCAGCCTCCTTGCTGCAACATTCACAACCCATGCTTCACACCCATATAAGATTGTTGGTACCACCATACTATCATACATTTCCCTCTTTGCCCCCATGGATAATGTTCTTTGTTTCCACAGATGCTTCAAAGCACCACTTCCTTTTACCCTTCAATTTTATGGTTCACCTCATCTTTCAGATACCCATCTGCTGCCAAGTGAACTCCCAAATATCTGAACACATTTACTTCCTCCATACACTCCCTCCCTCTAATCTAATATCCCATCCTTCATTACCTAACTCTTTTGTTACTCTCATCACCTTGCTTTTTCCTATGTTCATTTCAACTTCCCAAATTCATCCACTAACTTCTGCTTTGTAAAAATCTCTCCATGCTAGCTTTTTCTCCTCTGCTACTTCCTTTACTTCATTCCACTAATCGCTCCCCTTTCCTTTCCACTGTAAATACAAACGTTGGTTGCATATGTTAACGCTGTATTTTTAAACCTACCTCATCCCTCTTCAACCCCCTCATTACCTATACTCTCATTAGCCTATCTTTCAGCATTTGCTTATATCCTTACCCTATTTACCTCCTCCTTTAGTTTATAAACTTTCATTTCTTTCTTTCTCACTGAAGCCATCTAGCTTGTACTCTAACTGTTGCTCCTCTATAAATATGTATACATCCTGAAGTCTACCATCAACCTTTTATTCACTAATACACAGTTCAACAAACTGCTGTCACTATGCCCTATGTCATATCTCATATACTCATATTTATTTTTAGAAAAAGAGGATTACTTATCAAACCTCATTCAATACAAAGTTCAATAAAAGGCCCTCATTATCATTTACTCCTGGTATTCCAAACTTACCTACTATGCCCTTTATAACGGTTTCTCCCACTTTAACATTTAAGTTCCCC